AAAGAAGGCCAGGGTGAACTTGGGGTCGTATGTGTGTGGCTGATTTGGCCTTGTCCAGGCCAGCTGCTTATTTCTCAAGGCCAGGGGGCCAGCCATAAAATATCCTGATTTGACTTAACTGTCTTTCTCTCAAGGCCGCCGACCACAGTTATCTCTCCCAAGGCTGGCCATAGCTATCTCTGTCAAGGCCGGGTAGCTGGCTATGGCTGTGAACTCCCGTTTTTCTGATTCCTTCAGAATGGCATTTCTTAGGCTAAGTTATTGGGGGGGGGTGCATTTTATTGGCCCAAAGCCCCATGTCCTCATAATGGAGCGGGGGTCTTTCAAGACAGTCAGCTGAAGTGGACATTAGTGTACGTGCCTGATATCCTGGCATTTGGGGACCAGAAGCAGGAGGATAAGAAGTTCAAAGCCAACCTGAACTGTATGATACCCTCCTCACCTCCAAACTACAAAGAGAGAGAGAGAACCAGCTGTTTTTAGCTGAGGGATGTTTCATAAATTGTCATAGTTTTGTGTTTCCATTTTAAAGAAACAAATTAAATTCAGACAGGTTCTGTCAGTTATGAGGTTTCCTGACCTTAAAATAATATTTTGTTCTGAGACTAAAACATAGTTCCAGTTCTGTTTTGCAAAGAGCAATATTGTTAGGAATACTCAGATTCCTACTGGGGTGAAGGGCTTGTATGTGTTTCTGTTGGAGATCGTTTTGAACATCTGGCAAGTTCCAAACCTATGAGTAATTTCATGATCCAGAGTTAGACAGTCTATATAGTTCCATCTGATCAAACGGATGGCAGTGGGTAGGAAGTTCCAGATTAAATTAGAACAGGTCGTGATCTCAGGGGCCAAAGTTCAGCCAAGCCTAGGTCAGTCCAGTGAGTGTAAAGTTGCTGGGCACAGGGAGGCCTGACAGGGTCAATGTGGGTCAAGCTTCGCTTCAGATGTGATTTAATTAAGATCATGATTCATTTCTCTGATATTCTCTCCTCCAGACATAAGCCTTATCCTTGGTCAGCTCAGCAAAGTCTGAGAACGATCACCAACTGCCACTCAAATTTCTGCTTCCTCACTTATTCCATGGAAATATAGAGTGCTCTGTCCTGTTGCTGCCCCTCAGCGGAGCCCCCCTCTTACACCTGTCCACTTCTCAAAAACCTTCAGGGTCTTTGCAGCGATCAACAAAATGAAGATCCCATTTCCCTGCGCCCCTGGCAAGCATCCACTCTTCACCGGCAATACCCACTTTCTGTCCACCTATGTCTTTCTCACCTAATCAACCGTCTGATCCTTTGCAGGAGTGACAGGGTACTGTGTGACTTTTCCTGGGGAGACTCATGTCATACAAGCATCTGTTCAGCAGATGTTGTCAGAGCACTGACAACAAACCAAAGAAACTTTTCTATCTAAGTGTCATGAAATAAACCAATCAATTTATTGGGCTTACTCTTGGGCGCATGGATGATGCAAACATAGCTGCATCACCGAAAACCCATGCCAGTATGGATGACAACCCATGAAAGTTGCATCCTGGAGATCCCTGCAGGACCGAGAGAGAGCTCCAACAATTGGAGAGTCCCCTCAGTCATTGTTACTGCTTATGTAACTTTGCACAGGGGCTTGGTGAGTTTCAGGAACTTCCTGAGACCTGTGTGTTTTGTTTATTTTTCTGAGTCCTAAGGAACCTCCCTTCAAGAGGGAATATTTCAACTCACAGGAAACAGTTGTACAACACTGGGTTCCATGCCTTCCTACAATGCCTACATTCCTGCCCCCTGGATGCTCTCAACAGTTGCAGGTTCAGCAAGAGAGTGAAACAAAAGAATAAGAACCAAGGTCCAGTTTCTAGTGACCAGAGTCACTCTGGGTGCAAGAAGCAACCTACAGGCACTCCCTACACCTTCTCAAACTTGCCTTCAGAATTATTTTCTTCTTCCAGGTCACTGCGGGGAGCCCCCTCCATGGGAACATGAAGATAGCAAGAGAATCTATCATTTCGTGGTAGGACAGACAGTTCACTATGAGTGTATTCAAGGATACAAGGCCCTACAGACAGGTTCCGCCACAAGCATCTGCAAAATGATCTGTGGGAAGAAGGGGTGGACTCAGCCCCAGCTCACATGTGTACATGAAAGAGAATACCATCCGTTTCCAGGTAGGTTATTCCTTTCTTGTGCCCATCCCATTCTTTTCTCCATCTGGACCAAAGTGAGACTCCTCTCTGCCATGGGACCTTGGGAAAGCCACTTGACCCTCTAGGTCTCATCTTTTAAACCAGAACAGACCAACACTGAGGTCCCCTCATCTCTGCTCTACACATAGGTTGTTAGAGGCAGAGAAATAGTGATCTGTCTAGTGTTCCAATGCAGCACACAGGATACTTTCTCATTGTAATAATGCTATCCTGTGTCTAGCTGATCCTGAACTTCCACAGTTTCTGCTCAACTACCAAGACATCCCATAGTTCACAAGGACAAATCCAGCCTTGTACCCGCATGCTTCTTCCTTTCACTGGTATTTAATGTAGGTGTGTCATTGTACAGTGCTCCATTGTCATTTACACTCCCTGTAAAGGTCCTCCCTGATCTTTGATTTATATATATATATATATATATATATATATATATATATATTATGTGAGAAGTGGTTTGCTTTAGCATGTATGCTCACATACACACTCCTGCTCATATACACACTCCTGCTGCATACAACCTGCCTGTGTTGAGATCTTCTGCCATATTTGTTTGAAATCTTACTACTTCCATAACCAAAAGTTACTCACATCCATTCATGAATTTTCCTAGTTTCTTTACCATTTGTCTACTACCATTTGTCACATTCTGTGACTTCCTCCAGGGTCTTCTCAGGATGCTATGTCTTTCTCATCACTCACTTCCAATGAGTCACCCTCGTGGCCAGGGCATGCCAATAGTTTTCTTTGTAGGAGATGGAATGGCAAGTCCCTGGGTGTCTGTGATAAAATGCTGTGACCAAAAGCAACTTGGGGAAGAAAGGGTTTATTTGACTTCCACACATCACTGTTCATCACTGAAGGAGGTCAGAACAGGAACTCAATCAGGGAAGGAACCTGGAGGCAGGAACTGATACAGAGACCGTGGAGGAATGCTGCTTAGTGGCTTGCTCAACCTGCTTTCTTATAAAAGGACCACCAGTCCAGAGGTGGCATCACCAATGATGGGCTAGGCCCTCCCCCATCAATCATTATTTAAGAAAATGATCTACAGGCTTGCCTACAGCCCAATCTTATGGCAGCATTTTCTCAACTGAAGCTTCCTCTTCTCCCATGAGTCTAGCCTATGTGAAGTTGACATAAAACTAGCCAGCACACTCTATTATGAGAAATCCATGGAGTCTGCTTAGAGGTGAAGGAATTTATTAGGGAGGAAAACTCACTACAGCACGAGAGACTTATCGTAGGATCCTGGAAGGCCAAGGTATAGTCCCACACTGTTTTTCCACCTGGTCTGTCTCATCATCCAAGCCCATGAGGGAGAGAAGAGGAAGTGGAATATGTGCCTCTCAGGTCTTAAGGGTAGCCCTGAGCCATGCCCCAGGGGCAGGTACTTCAAGGTCATAGGTAGTAGGACAGTTACCTGCTACCTCTCTAGGGGCGGTACTTTAAGGTCATAGACAAAACAGCTACCCACTATAACACTGAGTCACTGATCACAAAGGGACTGTAAAAGCTAAATTTGGTGGAGGGGGTATGTGTGATTTTGACTCATTTCCAAGTCAAGGGTGGAATCCAGGGCTGAGTAGGAAGCCTGGAAAGAAAGACTTGCTCACAGTTCCAGAGATAGTCACTGTCAGGGTTAGAATTCCCCTTTATATGCTCTACTATGGCCCTCCAGCTGCTTCTAGTGCCCCTGATGTGGAACTGTGTCCCTGAGACATGCCCAAACAAGGTGTCATGCCTTAGCAGGTGTATCTGGGGCCAGCAGCAGATGGCAGGTGGAGGGAGGCGTTAGAGTCTCATAGATCCATCCTGGGTTCCAAATTCATTGCTTTTTCTCTTCTGCAGCCAGTGAAGAATCTCAAGGAAGCAGAGATCCTTTTCCTGAGAGTGAGAGTGAGACTTCCTGTCCCATCACCACCACAGGTATGGAGAGAGCTTCTGAGAACCAACATTTGGCCATCAAACAAGGGCAGACAGTGCTATGCAAGCTCCTCCAGCAATGAATAAGATGAGGAGGGGAAGCTGGCCCTAGTTGCCTTCCTTTCCTCCAAAGCAAGAACATGGCCATAGCAACACAATCAGCCCAAAGCAGACTGGAAAGACGGTTCAGTTGGTAATGCAAAGCATCAGTTGTCATGCAAAGCATAAGGACCTGAGTTTGATCCCCCAGAAACCATGCGCAAATATGGCAGTATTTGGCTATAATCTCAGCACTGGGGAGGCAGAGACAGAGGATCTCTGGGGCTTGCTGGCCATCATCTAGTTTAGCAGAACCAATGAGCTTCAGGTTCAGTAAGAGACCCTGTCTCAAGAAATAAGGTCATCAATTAAGCAAGACATCTGATGTTGACCTCTGGCCTCCATAGGTACATGTGCATGGGCGCTTGCACACACATGAACACACATACACATAAATGTGTACACCCCCTCTACATACACCAACAATCTAAAGGAAGCGTCAGAAGGAGAAATCACACGACTGAGGTTGACGTTTCCAGACAGATCCTGCTCACCAGGCCCCTCGTATCCCTTCCCCCAACCGAGTGATGAATTCACTGAGAAGCCCCTCCTCTTCCGGCCTCGTGCAGTCCTGTGCTTGCTATGAACTGAGTGTCTGCTTGTCTCTCTTTCCCACAGACTTCCAACTGCTGACAGAAGCCCCTGCAACTATGGAGACATTCATACTCACAACGGAGTATCAGATAGCAGGTAGATCAGGCCGTTTCAAGACATAGGCAGTCTGACTGGTTGAAATGATCCCTCCGTTCACTAACGTTTATAAGGGGGAAAGATGACTATAGATTTGAACATTGCTCAAAACCCCGTGGATCAGCTGTGGTATGCTGGGAGTTGGATTAGCTACCTTTCGAACTGCTTTGATCAAATGTCTGATGATACAAACCAGAGGAAAGAAGGGTTTGTTCTGACTCCCAGTTCCAGGATCCAGTCCATCACCATGGGGAGGCATGGCAAAGGAGAGGGAGGTCACATTGCATCTACAGTTAAGAAACAGAGAAAGGCTGGCTATAGTGGTGCACGCCTTTAATCCCAGCACTTGGAAAGCAGAGGCACGCAGATCTCTGCAAGCTTGAGGCCGGCCTGGTCTACAGAGTGAGTTCCAGAGCAGTCAGAACTACACAATGAGAGAGAGAGAGAGAGAGAGAGAGAGAGAGAGAGAGAGAGAGAGAGAGAAATGCTTTGCTCAGTCCACTGTTTTTCCCCTTTTCATAGAGCCCATATCTCAGCCCATGAAACGGCACTGCCCACTTTTAGAGTGGTCTCCCTACCTCAGTTAACCTAGTCTAGATAATCTCGCACAGACATGCCCAGAGTTTTGTCTCTAAAGTGACTCTAGGTCCTGACAATCAATACAAACCAAGAGCCTAACTAACAAGACTTACACCTTAAAGCGCCCTAAACCAGTTCCTCCCACATACATCTTCAAGAACAATGCCCCCCAAACTTAAGTGAGGGACAAAGCTGAGACCCAGGGAAAGGGAAAAAAAAAATGTCCATAAACACCTTAGTTGTTCCCGGTAGGGGTTAAAAACAGGCTTCAAAGCTACACTGGCCTGGACCACTGCGGGGGGGGGGGGGGGCGGATTCTGGAACCTTCACAAGTCAGCATTTGGGAAGTGAAGCACCTCCAGGAAATATCAGCGTGTTTAGGATATCTCGTCTTGTTTCAATGTTTCCTTCATGGAAGAAGCTGCGGTGAGGCCTGCGCTCTGAGCCTTCCTTAAGTTTCAGCTGCACCCCTTTCCAGAGGGCTGGTGCCGGCCCCTTTCTATGCGAAGAAGACGCTGTAGGCCCAGCTGCGCTCACCTAGGGAATTTTCTCGCCTGCCCTATGGATCCAGCTTCTTTGCCCCCCTCTCCCCAAAGCATGGCCCCAGTGCTCAACCTGAACTCCCTCTCTTTTCACAGTGGCCAGCTGCGCCTTCCTGCTCATCAGCATCCTTCTTCTGAGTGGGCTCACCTGGCAACGCAGATGGTGAGTCCGACACCATAAGGGCTAAGTACCCCCAGTGTCTGGTCCCTGGCCTGGCAACCATGAACACTGCCCAGAGCCTGGATTTCACTGACAGGCTGAGGAGATCCCTCCCTCGGTCGGGTGCTTACCACGCAAGCGCGAGTTCCTGAGTTCCAGTGCCCAAAGTTCTCTAAAACAGAAAACAAAACAAAACCAAACAGAAGCTGGATGGGAGGGCACTTACCTGTAATTCCAGTGCCGAGGAGGCAGGCCGAAGTGGAGCCCTCAGACTCTCTGGCCGCCCAGCCTAGTGAAACTGGTGAACTCCAGGTTCATTAACAGACACTGTTTGGGGGAAAAAAAAATGTGAATGGTCTAAGGAACAATACCCAAGGTTGACCTCTGGACACCCCCCCCCCCACACACACACACACATACTTGCACAGGGCAGAGGAGGCAGGGAGAGAGAAAGAGAGGGAAAGAGAGGAGGGAGAGGACTTAGCATGCAGGCACATACCTTTAATCCCTACACTCAAGACTTGGAGGCAGGAAGGTCTTGAGTTTGAGTTTGAGGGCAGCCTGGGCTGCATAGAAAATAACATGTCAGCCTCAGGTACATAGTGAGACATATCTCAAAAGAAATGAATGAATAAATGAAGTGCCTAGGGATGTGGCTCAGTTGGTAGATTGAGTACCTAAGGATGTTCACAAAGCCCAGGCTTGAGCTCAGCATCCTAAGAAAGCAAGTATAGTGGCATACACCTACAATCCCAGCTCTCAGGAGGCAGAAGCAGGGAAATCAAGGCATCAGTCCTGAGCTAGATAAGATCTTATATCAAAAACCTAACTAAATATTTTTTTTTTTAAAAAAAGGTAAGGATGTAAAACCATCTTGAGAAAAGCCAGTCCATCCTCAGTAGAGTCAGCTGGATAAGCTCTACTGTTCCTGTCCTGGTTTCATTTCCTGTGGGTCTGATAAAATACCCAGACAAAAGCCGCTCAAGGGAGAAGGTTTATTTGACTCACAGTTCTGGGTTGCAGTCCACCACTGTGTGGGAGCTAAGGAACGTGAAGCAGTTACTCATATCACACCCACCATCAAAAGCAGAGAGCACTAAGTTAATGTGTGCACACTTAGGCCCAGCTCACTTTCTCTTTTTTATGCAGAATGGGAGGGACCCAAACCCATGGGTTTAGGCTGGGCCTTTCCACATCACTTAACATAATGAAGACAATCCCCTGCAGACATGCCCACAGGGAACTTGACCTAGGTGACCCCTCTTTGAGCAATTCCCTTCCGGTAATTTTAGGTTGTGTTAAATTGACAATTAAAACTAACCATCACAGTCCCAAATGTGAAGGGCATCCCCCTCCTGGCAAAGCAGGTCTGGCCAACCCGGATATTCTTAAATCCTTTAATAACATAGCCGTAAGGTGGGTGGGTGGGTGGGAATCCAATTCTTTCCCTTCTTGTGTTGTTCATCTGGCCTGCTCCTAAGTTTCCTCAGGTGAATCATGAAGTAGAAATCCTTGCAGACCAAATGAGGAGACCCCAATGGTTGTTGCACTAGGAATTATTCATAGCCCTGGCAATCTATCCATTTCCTTAAGGTGTTCTCTTGGGGTTCTGGGATGAAGCATAATATCATATGCCTGACAGTTTAGGGTCCTCAGTACTTGTTAGACCATCTCCCTGCTCAGGGTGAGCATCTACCTGGCAATAGCCTTTTCTTTGGTAGCTTGAAGACCCAAACTCAAGAGGATAGGCTCCTTGTGAGCCTTAATAGCATAGTTTATAATGGGAAGTAAGGAAGTGTCTAAAACCACAGGAGTTCCCAAGACTTCCCAGTACGACAGTCATTAGGGAGACTGCAATATAATTTCAATATGATCCCTCTGATCAAAGAACTTGATAAAACAAACAAACAAACAAACAAACAAAACCCCAAAACAAAAACCATACCTCTGTTGGGGGGGGGAGTGATTGTGGAACATACCTAAAATCCCAGCACAGAGGAGTCCAGCCTGGGGCTACATAACAAGACCCTGTCTCTGACTCACATTTGCACATGTGTCCCCATATGGACACATTATTAAAAATAAGATAATTTTTTTGTAACAAAAACAAAATTTCTGCTTTCTAGAGGCTAATTTCACCTAATGGTGCCCTCTTGTGGCCAATTAGAAATCCTACCCGTGAATTACTGAAAAATCTGATCTTTGCCCGAGGTGTTCTGGTTGTTTAGGAACAATTACTAGGAGCTAGGAGTGTGCAATAAGAGACCCTGTCTCAAAAATATCAGAGTAGATGGCTCCTGGGGAATGACACCCAAAATTGTCCTCTGGCTTCCACATGCAACACACACACACACACACACACACACACACACACACACACACGTTCTTTAGTTGCATTAACCATATTTCAAGTTTTCACTACCAACATATGTCTCTTTAGTAGACAACAAAAGTACTAAGAATTCCCATCATTGCAGAAAACCTACAGGCTATCACTAGCTAGAAACAAGGAGTTTTCAACTCACACAAATCACTCAGTGTGCTTAATTGCTACTATTTCAGTTCAGCAGTTATTATTCCACAGAACTAAAGGGGGAAAGATAGACCATCCTCAACTGCCAAATGTTGGATGCTGCACTGTAGACCACAGACAAACACATCTTGGCCCTGCTCTTGGGAACTTATAGACTAGTACACAGGAAGAGAAAAAAATTGAAATTTTTTTGTAGTGCTGGGGATATAGTAGAGCACTTTCCTAGTCCTGGGTTCAATCCTTACTACTGAAAAAAAAAAGCAGAAAGGAAGATAGGGAGGGAAGGAAGGAGGTAGGAAGTTTTGCTAAAAGTCTAAGATGGAGATATGTAAACAGAAAAGGTATTTAATCCCACATGGGATTCAAAGATGACATACTGAGCTGATGGCCTCTGAAATGTCAGGTAAAGCAAGGCAGGAAATAGCTTCTAGAAGAGGAGGCTGGGGTGGGTATGGAAGTTTGAAATAGAGTGGTAAGGTTTGGGAGAAGGCAGTCCTGGATGATGGGGTTTAAAACAAATGGGGACCGTGGCCACAGTGATACCACACTGCACAGATAGACAGAAATATTGGCATGGAAGATGAGGCCAGACTAAGGAGCTGGAACTTCCTGCCGACGGTGACTGCACCTCAGAACACCTCACTTAGGGCAGAAACAGTAACCCTGGGCTTCTGAGTGGTCTGAGTGCCATGTAGAGGCCAGGCTTACATGTGGTAGCAGTTTGATTACATTACGATGGAATAAATCTACATAGAAGTTGATGACTGCACTTGGGTAGGTGTGTGGATCTGATTGAAAAGGAAGAAAGGAAATCAAGCAGTACAGAGAAGAGTTGATCAAATTAGTATGATTGGTCAGCTGGGTAAAAGTAGGGAGTCAGGATGCGAGGTGAGTCAGAGAGGGGCCCTGGGTTTCCAAGAGAGGGACAGCCTAAAACCACCAGATCCTATGGTGAAAAGTAAAGCGAGGGTCTCAGCTAATGTATCCCTTGGAGGTTAGCCACCAAGCACAGCCCATTAGGACATCCACCTCCACAGACCCACTCAGTCTCTATCTGTACTGTCCAGCCTGGAGTTAGCTGGGATATGGGAGGGCTTCTTTGGGTTCTTTCTCAAAACAGTGAGTTGTGTTATCAATGCACAGAAGAGATTAAGTGGACAGTCAGTTTTGGCCTCTGGAGGGATGGGGAAGCCTTGCAGCTAGGTTTCATCAGGTAAAAAGGCAGCAAGATTCTGAGGTAGAATTCAAATTTAGAATCTCAGCGTTAAAACGGACGGTTCAGTTCACATGTGTTTGGGTGGGGACCATGTTGTACTATGACACGTGTGGCTGTGACTGAGTTAATCTTCCAGGAAGAAGAGTAGAAGAGGCATCTAGAAAACTCGAAGAAGTCGGAGGCCAAGAGAAGCTGATGAGGATCATGAAGCTCAAGCAAAATCAAAGAAGACAAACACTCACTCAACAGGTGTCTCCTGTTGATCCCTTGGGTTCTGGAAAATTCTGAAGTCACAGGACATAACAGCATGTCCATCACTAACCTGGACTTTGCCACTGAAGAGTGGGATCTAACTAACCATTTCTAAAGTCTTTAATGGGAGAGAGGGCCCAACAGCACTCTGTGTGTTTTGGTTTTGTGTATATATGTTGATGGAAGCTAGAGTGCATGGATACTTTTCATGCCATACATAATATAGAAAAAGTAGCTTTAGGTGACTTCACTGTAACTTCCCAGTTTGGAAAGCCTAGCACTAATGTAAATACTCCTCAGTCCTTCTCCATCCTCCTTCCTCCTTCTCCCTTGCACCCCCTTTCTGCTCTCACAAACTCATCCTAGCCAAATGGCTCCTTTACCAGCCTCTGCTTGCCTGACTGGTTCTTCTGATTTCATCATTTACTGATCAGCCTTTAAAACTCTGGGCTGGTGACTAGGACTCCATATATTCTTATCTCAATTCTAGAAAGGAACCCCCTTTCTGCTGAAGCTTCACTTTTGAATTTCTAAAGAGCAGAAACTATGGCAGAACAATTTTTGAATAATATCAAACCAAAGTAGCCAAGTTGTAGAGAACTGTGGAGCTTCAATATTTGGAAGCCTGTGTCTAGGATCAATGTCAGGAGCAGCAGGCTAGGTCCCAGAACATGAATTATACTTATCAAATGCTTTACTAATAGGCCACTGGTTTCTTTACTCTAAATTTGGCCTGAACTATTGATGCTTACAAGTGGACACACAAGGTACAGACATGTACCTGGTACAGATCATGAAAACACTGAAAAGAAAGGAATAATTCCAATGTTTATGAAGGGAGGAAATAACAGAGCAGAGGAGGTGATTATACTAAAGATTAACTATAGACTGGATATTCTAGCCGTCCTCAAATAATTCCCCTCCAAAAATCTCCCAATCCAGGGTTACCAGTAAGTCTTAGGAAACAGACTGTGGGGCCAGCCCAGTCTCTGAGTCAGTAAATGTGGACTTTGGAATTCTCACAAGTTCCTGGGTAATGCCTTAATACTGATCTCTAGACCACACTTTGTGAACCACCGGGCTATCCCTGTGTGCTCTCACCTCCTACTGCTACCAAAAGCAACTAGGTTCTGGTTCCCACGCCCTCAAGAACATTCTTGTTCAGTCTCTTGCATAAGATTTCCTCTCAAATGAGTTGAGTCAGATGTTCAAATTTAACAGGGGGATTCACAAGAAGCTTAAACTATCAGTTTTCATTTCTGGCTGGAAAATGTTATGGAAAATCAAAGGTCAGACAGAGCCTTTTTTGGTCTTTTATGTGACCAAGTGTAAACCAGACTTTTCCTATCTATGGTCTTCTCCCTTTTCCAAAAGATACCTTTTTGGGTAAAAGAAATGTTAAGTAGAATCTCAAATCACTAATTTTAGAAAAGAAAAAAATGTTAAAAATCTTTCTAAAGAGCTGTGGTTAGTGATACAGACTTGTAAGCCCAGCACTCAGAAGACTGAGGCAGGAGGATCACAGCAAGTGTGAAGTCAGCTTGACCAACAGAGCAAAACCCTGCCTCGACCCCCACCCTTACCATAAAAACAATCTTACATGCATAAAATTAAAATTGCAATGTATACCTGTTTACCACATGTATGCCTGGGGCCCAGGGAGGCCAGAAGAAGATGTTGGATTCCCTGCAACAGCTGGTTGTGAGTTGTCATGTAGGTTCTGGGAATTGAACCCCTGTCCTCTGAAAGAGGGGCCAGTGCTCTTAACGACTGAGCCATCTCTCCAGTCCACTCAATTGAATTGTGTCATCATTACTTATTATGGGAGATGGGGATATGATCACAAAATTTTTTCTTGATAATACTAAGATACTGTTTAACTAGTTTACTCTCCTTCACAAGTGTATGGTGGAAATTCCTAGAAGCTGCATGTGTAATGTTGTCGTCATTCTGGTGTTACAATGGATTTATCTTATTGTTTATAAAATAATAAATGATATTTTAAATTTTTCTTGGTTTTAGTTTTTAAAGATGATTAAGATTGATAGATGCTAGTTTACATTAAGAAAGCCTAGGCTCAGTGTACTGGGCTCTGCTGACTCCCCATGGGAGACCTTGATTTGGGGGATGTGGGGATGTGGGGTGGCTTGGGAGGGATGGTTGGGAGATGGGAGGAAGGAGGAGGTGGGATCTGTGGGTGGTATGTAAAGTGAGTAGAAAATTTCTTAAAGAAAAATGGAAAAAAAAGAAAAAAAGAAAGCACTTGACTTGGAGGACAAAATTTAAAAAAAGAAAGAAAGAAAGAAAGAAAGAAAGAAAGAAAGAAAGAAAGAAAGAAAGAAAGAAAGAAAGAAAGAAAGAAAGAAAGAAAGAAAGCCCTTTGGGATCCTCAGTAGTTTTTAATGGTTTTAATAATTTTTAATAACATAAAAAAATGTCTGACAAATTCTGCTACAAAGCTGTTATGGTTTGAATTGAAAATGTCCTCGACAGGCTCATGTATTCAAACACCAGCTAGCAGAGCTGCTTTGTGTTATGGGACCTTTAAGAGGTGAGGCCTTGCTCTTGGAGACAGATCTTTGGGGGTGAACCTTTGAGAATGACAGCCCAGCCTTGCTTCTCGTCTCCCTCTCTGCTGTCCCGTGAAGCCACCATGTGAGGAGTTCCCCAACATACCTCTGCTGCCGCAGAGTCGCTCCCCGATGCCTTCCCTGCTGCCGTGGAGTGTACCCTCTAAAACTGTGAGCCAAAGCCAACCTCTCCTCCCCTAAGTTACCTCTGTCAGCTCTTTTGTCCTACTGAGGAGAAAAGTGACTAAGACAAAGGCAAGGTATGGTTTGGAAGCTCGTGGGAGCTTCACAGCCAGACTCGGGTACAGCTGAGATGGTGGAATTATCGAGAGGGGAATAACAACAACGGAAAATGAATCCTTACGACAGAGATGGCTGTGGCACCCTAATTCCATTCTTTTCTTCTTCCATTGGTAGTAAAATCTCCAGGTTTTAGAAGAACACATCTTGTTGGTGTTCTAGTCAGTTTCTATTGTCAACTTGGCACAACCTAGAGACACCTGGGATGAGGGAACCTCAATTAAGACTCCCCTTGATCAGATTGTCTTCACTGATGATTGACATGGGAAGGCCCAGCCTACTGTGAGTAGCATCATCCATAGGCAGGTAGACTTGGCCTATATTAGTAAACTGACTGAGCATGAGCCAGGGAGCAAGCCACTTACAAGTGTTCTTCCGTGGCTTCTGACTCAGTTTCTGCTTGAGTTCCTACCTTGATTTCCTCAATGATAAGATTGTGACCTGGAAGCATAAGCTAAAATAAACTCTTACCCATGGTTGCTTTGGTCATTGTATGTATCATAGCAACGTAACAGTAAAATACAACAACACCTTTCTCCCAAGCTAATGACATTCTCCAACCTTTTTGCAGGTGCATGTGATCATGTGATTAAGTTAAACACAGAGATAGGAGCAGAAGCAATGTGTGCAACGTCTGGGCTGTGCCTTGAAGAGAACGTGAGTTGCATTTCCGCTCTTAGCTCTGCTCACTGGCAGACACGTGATCTTAGAGTGGGAGCTGGAACCACCAGTGAGGTAGAAGCCCATTTTAAGTTTGACAAGGAGATAAAATTGTCTGATGCCGTGAGGAAATGCAACATGACTGATTGTATTGGACTGTACTTGGGCCAGATACACCATTCTATTGAGGCCACTATGACTTTTCCTTTGTTATGACAAAAGTAGCAATCACTAACACTGTACTGTTTTCAGATCTATACATACCCTCTTCCCACTCCCCAATTTTCCCCTGTGGTAATATTAGCACTAAAATATTTTTACTAAAGAGAGAGAATCAACATTTGACATAAGAGCAGACTCAAGTAACTACTTGTTCTGTGTTGCGTGACTCTTGCCTGAGAGTTCCCCTCCAGCAGGTAAGTGCATGAGATGAAACACCATGAGTTCTCTTTCCTAACTGGACGACTCCCTTACTTGCCTTTGGAGATGCAATCAATTTGCAACAATCCTGAAGGATTTACAACAGCCCTGAAGGATTTCTGGGAATTGTTGGTTCCTATGGAGATATTCCCATCCAATGAAGTTTCTGGGTAAGTAAAAAAATCACAAAGAGAAAGCTGTTGAGAGATTTCCAGCCATCCCACACTCCAAGAGGTGAGGGATAAAATACATCTTCTCTTCTGCTGCGATATTAAAGGTTTGTGGGCTGTTTTTCAATCTGGTCCCTTAGCCCTACATGTAAACCTTACAGAAAGGGGCCAGTAAGATGGCTCACTGAGCAAAGGTGCTTGCCACCAAGCCTGATGACTGGATTCAATCCCTGGAACCCACATGTTGGGAAATAGAGAACTGACTCCGTTAACTTATCCTATGAACCCACATGCATAACATAGTGCAGGTTTCTTCCCACCATACACACACGCACACACATACACAGATACACACACACACACACACACACACACACACACACACACACACACACACACAGCCTTTATAGGAAGGAAAGAAGTTGGAGATACAGGTTTCATGAAGCTAAGTTGGTCTTTGGATAAACCTAACACTACTTGTGACTACAAATTTGGTGTTTTTGTTGTTTGAGACAGGCCATCCTTATGCAGCTTAGGCTAGCTAGACTTGAACTTGCATTCCTATTTTAGCTTCCTGGGGTTACAGGCATGCACCGACATACCCAGCTCTCTCTCTCTCTCTCTCTCTCTCTCTCTCTCTCTCTCTCTCTGTGAGCCTTAACTTCCTATGTATTGAAGGATACCCTTGAACTTCTGGTCCTCCTGTCTCTACCCATTGAGTTCTGGGATTACACCACCATGCTCTGTTTACACAATGCTGGGAATAAAACCCTGCTAGTGCAGGTTAGGCAAGCACTTTGACAAATCATACTAAAAAAAAAAAAAAATTCTGAGACAGATACAGATCCCCTCTAATCCTCCCTTTTTCTTCTCCAAAATTACAATTAGAGTCCTAAGTTCTGCCCCATAGGCTGGCCAGACAGCCCAGATAAACCTGAACCCTAGTGGTGATGGGAACTTCTGATCCACATACATGGAGATGCAGGTTTGGAAACGTTGCTGGGACACCCCATGCAGAAGCTCCATAGCTGGTGTGACGGGATGATGAGGGACGTGCTGCTTTTCAGCTTTCAAGCCAAGGAACTCAGCTGTGCCCACTTCCCTTATGACCGCCTACGCATGCATTTGGGAACATAAAATCACTAGATGTTAATCTGCTGGGTTGAAAAACATTCTGCCTGATGTGTGACCAGAAAAGTGGAAGAGCAGGAAGTAAACAGAACTGGTTTCCTTCCTACCTACTCCTGGCCTTGCTGTGAAGGGGAGGGAAAAGATAGGTAGTGAGTCGGATCAAAGTTTCAATCTTCTTACTGCTTTGTGATTTGAGGAGGAAAAGTAGTCCTAATCCACAGTTCCATGTTAAACTGAGGTGCCTGAGAATTTAGAGGTATCTAGCTGTGTTTTGAGACCAACCACTATGAATGCAAGTCCTGCAGACAAGAATTGGGAAAACAAGGGAGAATTAGAAACACCCTATGAATTTTCCTCTAGTGAATGTGGTCCAAACAAGATCCAAATGTTCCCACTTGCCCAACTTGTGAGAAATGGCTAGCTGAGGCCAGGAGCAGACATACCTTCCCAAGGATTAATAAGGAAGGTGCTCAAAACCCTGCCACAAGCCCACAGGAAACTGGGTCTCCAGTGGGCATCCTTGTTGGGACTTGAATGGGCACCTACAGATCTTCAGGCTGCTGCCTACTACACTCCCTCGCCATCATAAGAATCTTTGACATTTTTACACATGTGAGACTGAAAGGGAAGTGATACTCCTACCCACAGTGTGTGACTAGCCCTAGCCTTCTCCATTGTTCCTTCCCAGAGTGCCTGACTGCTGGAATTCTAGCAGTAGATACCCAAGGAAGAGAGGATGAGAACAGAGGTCAAATTATAAGCAAAATTCTAATTGAGTTAATAATTGACTTAGGAAATTATTGAAGTGGATAAAGGAAACTAACTTGGGGTGAAAAAAAAGTTCATATGAGGACGCCTTGTAGACTAAGAGTTCAGAGTTAGATATTGACTGCTATGACTATAAAATATGATTCTTACCCCCACGTTCTTAGGACAATCTGTTCCCTTGTCTTAGAAAAAAAAAAAAACCACATGGTATTTTTGATCCACAAAGAATGTATCTGGGAGTTATGGCCTTTTCCTCTCCTCATCAACAATTCCCATCCCTGGAGATGTCTTGGGATTAGCTGTTTTAAACTGAGAAAATATCTGCTACAATTCTGCATTGGTTACTCTGGTCAAACACTTGACAAAAAATAACTTAAGGGAAGGGGGCGTTGTTCAAGATTGCTGTTCTAGGAACACAGCCCATCCTGGCAGGGAAGTTACAACAGCAGGTGTGGAAGGAGGCTGGCATGTCTAAAATCAGAAAGCCACGGCCAATGGTGGTGCTCAGTTTGCCCATGAAATGGCACCACCACATTCAATGTGGATCTTCCCTGCTCAGTCAAACCTCTCCAGAAACATCTTCATAGACACACACAGAAGTGCGTTTCCATGGTGGTTCTAAATCCAATCGGCAATCATGATTAACAATTACAAATTCAAAGAAATCCTAGAAGACATATTATGGGATACATTAGCTACAAGGAGAACACATCATACTATCTCAAAAAACATGAAACTGTAGCTTCTTCATTGAATCTATAGTAAATCTGGTCTCATCCACTAGTTGGCAAGAAAGAAAAATGTCTTATCCAGTTTAAAAAATGCTAATAGGCATCACTGGGTCTCTAACTAACAAAAATGCTGCTTCCAGACCAGCAAAATGGCTCAGCCAGAAAGAACACTTGCCACCTGTAGATGTAACAGTCTTATTAAATAAGAAACACAGAGCCAAATGCAGAGTTAAAAGCCCAAAAGGTCAGAGCA